TCCCTCTCCCAGGGAGATCCATGTGTTCTCCCAGACCTAACTTTTCTTGATATATGGATTATAGCTTCGTTTTCATTTACTTAATAGCTAATATTCATATATAAATGAACACATACAATATTTATCTTTCTGGTTTACCTCAGGATGCTTTGGTTTTTTTTCTACTCCCATCCCCTACATATTTCATGATGTGCTTTTTAACAGTTGAGTAATACTCCGTTATGTAAATGTACATTTTCTTTACCTGTTCTCTTGAGAAACCTCTAAGTTGTTTGCACTTTCTGGTTAGGAATAGAGCAGAAATGCATATAGTTGAGCAAGTGCCCTTATGCAGTGTCCTTTGGGTATATGCTGAAGAGGGGTATGGCTGGATCTTGAGGTAGATGGATCTTAGTTTTCTAAGAAATTACCATATTGATTTCCATAGTGGCTGTACAAGTTTACACTCCCACCAGCAATAAATGAGTGTTCCTCTTATTCCACATCCTTGCTAATATGAACGATCACTAGTGTTACTTAGCCATTCTGATGTTGTAAAATGTAATCTCAAAGTAGTTTTGATTTACATTTCCCTGATGGCTAAGACTGTTGAACATTTGTTTCTTGGCCATTTAAGTTTCCAGTTGAGAATTCTATGTGTTCAAACCATTTTTTTTTTTAGCTCATTTGGGTTTTTTTTTTTTTACATCAAGTTTATTGAGTTCTTTGGGATGTGTGGTTGGTAAAAATCTTTTCCTGTTCTGTAGACAGCTGCTTTATTACTACAATGAAGGAATATTGCTTTATAATAGCCAGGAGGAAGACCCATTTCCTAACCCTCCTAAGCCATGAATTCATTAAGTTAGAGCTCTTATTTATGATTCTATTACTTCTAAAGGCCCAGCACTGAGGTTATTGAAATTGAAAGGCTTAGTTTTGAGTATCTTTGCCTTGGGGAAGACCCATTACATTCAGATCATAACGTGAACTAGGACCTGTTGGATCATACATAATTTGGTGTTGATGTGTTGAGAATTTTCTGTTTTCCTACCCAGTTTTAGGTCTGTTTGCATTGTACAAGGGTTCCAGTTTCTCTGAATTCTCTCCCAACACTTTTTATAACCATCCTAGTCAGTATGAAATTATGGTATCAGGCTTTTGATTTGCTCTTCATTAAATGACTGATATTGAGTTTCTTTGCGTGTGGTTTTGTTTATTGTTTTAGGGTTTTAAGTGTTATCTCTTACATTTTATGTATATGAATATTTTGAATTAATTTTAATTTTTAAGAGCTAAGAATCAAGCTTCCTTCTTTGTATGTAAATACTGTTTTTTCCCAATAACATTCATTTGTTCACAAGAATGCCCATTCCTACGTCCAGCAGTTTTACAACCTTATTGAAAAGCAGTTGTCGTGCAGTCGGTGTGTGGGTCGGGGTGTGTGTGTGTGTGTGTGTGTGTGTGTGTTCGTTTATATCTAAGGTCTCAATTCATTTTATTGGCTATGTTTAGTATTTTGCTAGTCAGTACCATACCGTGGTTCCTTTAACTTTTGGCTTTGTGGTTCTGAGAAACAGCCTTCCCAGTTTCAACTACTTTCAGACTCCATGATTTTCATATGAATTTTAGGATCAGGTTAACAGAATCTGGATTTTTAAATTTTTAAATCTGGATACATTAAATTTGTACATCTGTTTTGGGAAGATGATCCTTTTAGCAATACTTATTGCTCTTGTTTTTAAAAGGGAACCATTTTCTGAATTTCCTTTAAGGATTATTCATTTAGTAATATATGTAAGACAGAATTATGTTTATTGATCTTGTATTCTACACCTTTCTGAATTTATTACAAGGGAGATACCAGTCAATCAATCTGTATGAATATAAGGTCATTTAATCTTCAGGTAATAATAGTGATTTCTCTTCCTCCCCCCCCCCCCCAGCCCCAACCCTCAGCTTGGATGCCACCTTTGCTTTTCTTTGTTTTTCTTTCCCTGATTGTTGAGGCTTGAACTTCTAGTAAAGTATTAAATAGAAGTAAAGAAGAGGTCATCCATGACTTTCTGCTTAGATAGAAGACTTGTTTCTGCCACTGAGTGTGGTGTTGCCCCTGAGGTTTATAAGTACCTTAGGAAAGTATGTTTGCTTTTGTCAGTTCATCTCTATCTTCTGAAATGGATTTATTCATTCTACTGATGCATCGTGTTTTATTTTGAATATCAAAAATACATATTGATTCTCATAAATGTGCCACAGCATTTTCTGTATAAAGAATATTGATTGGTATGTAGGGATTTGCGCGGGGTGGGGGGGTTGTTGGCTTTGTTTTTTGCTTTGGTGTTAAAGTAATGCTGTCATAATATAATTGGGGAGTATTCTTTAATATTTTTGAAAGTTTGAAGGTTTTTTTTTTTTGTTTTTAAATATTTGCTAGAATTAACTACTAAGTTCTGAGCCTACTTTTTTGTTTTGTTTCTTTTTTGTATTTGGGATTCTTGAGGCTAGAACCACAAATGGAAAGATATTTTCAGTAGGAGATTTGATGCTACCAAAGGCAGATTCAGTTGGACCCAGAGTACAAAGCACTATCTACAAAGATTACTCTTAAGCCTTACAATCTGATAGAGTTGACTTTACTAATACCTTGACCTCTGTGTGTTAAAGTGCCTATTTTCCTGAAACCTTGCCATGATCATACAGTCTGTTGTCATACATTTGTATAATTGCCAGAATAATAAGTAAGACATGCACTACTATGTTGACATCATTGTAAATGAATTGAGTTGAAAGCCATAATTTTTCCTGTGGTGTCATTTTTCTTTTGGGCTATTATTAAATAGACTTTGCTACTGTTTCAGTTTTGCTATATTTTATGTTTATGCAGTCTGATGTTACCTTAAATTAACATTATTTTTAGACTTTCCCATGTGGAATTATTAAAAGAATGCCCTCCTGCCTAAGTGGGTTCACTTCTAAATATAAACTACCTTTATTTAATCTAGCTATATGTACTCTGGATACTTAGTGCTATAATCTTCAGTGGTTTGTAAGAGAATAACCCACCTCACTTCATTCAGCTGAAAAATGTGAGAAAATAGATGATAATATAAAATTATTTTTATACCTGTATACTGTGTCCCACAAAGCCTGAATGGAACAATCCTGGAACTAGACTTTATCATGAGGTTATTGTATAGATGAATTTAAATTCATGGTGTGATTCTAAGTAAAATTCAGCAACTAGGTAAGGCATTCCTTTTAGGAAAATCCTTTTAAGAAATTCTTTGCAACATTACAGTTGTTGAAGCATTCAGAACTATCATTCTTTTTGCCTCCCCTAGTCCCCTAGTTCTGTTTTTTTTTTTTTTTGGGGGGGGGGGGGGGGGGGGGGGGCTAGGACCACTTTCTCAATTTAACTTAGAGCTAATGGTTAGAATTCCATGAATCAATTTCTTGGGTCTATTTTGCGTGCATGTTTAGTAAGTAAAGTACTATTTGGAAATGAAAAGTATTTTACATAGAGTAGCAATATTAGGATAAGTACATCTTTAATGTGGGGGCTGTGTGTGTACACATACACGTATATCAAATAGGGTTACTTGCATGAGCATTGGTACAAGGGCAACATATAGAATGGCTATGTCACAGGGCAATATGGCTGCCTCCTCCCAGCAAGCATTAACTGCCTCCTTAGAGGCAGGTGAAACCTAACATTGAAGACCCCAGTCTTCGGCAGATAACTACAGCCACTGTGGATTTTTATGAGTGCAACAGTCATATCAGGTTCAGGACATAATATTTTATAGCACAGCTTCCTGTAATTTGATTCTTTCATTCCTTCCACTCTTCCCTGAGCCTTGAACTGGATGATATAGATGTCCTGGACAGTCCTGAGCACTCAGTAATTATGTATTCTCAGCCCTTTGGTCAGTGAAGATTCTGTATTAACCTACTGCTCACTGCAAAAAGAAGCTTGTCTAATCAAGGCTGTAAAAGCACTAATCACTAGATGTAAATATAAATAAAAGAAATATGACATATGTCTGGTTAGGAAAACAACAGTAATAGGTTGAGCATGTAAAGGGGTACATCTTGCCTGAGAGTATTGTAGGGCAATATTGTAGAATGTACAGTTCACAACTGGATGAGACTGTTGACTTTCCTGGGCAGTATGCCTAGTACCTTTCAACCCTGTAAAATTGAGTCAGCAGGAGGCAAAACATCTTGATTCATTTCCAGCTTGATTTTTGTCCTGCAGCCAGAGTGTGGTGTCTTCAGCAGTAGGTTGTGACCATTCAGTTCTGGTTGGCAATTGCTTTTGGTGTGTTTATTTTTTATGGTCTCACTGACCTTAATCCATGTTCCTCCTTTTATCTCAGGAGTTTCACCCAAATGACTTATTATTATTGAAATATTAAAAAACAACAACTATATTGTAGCTACACTAATAGCAATCATAGCCCTAATCACTCTATTCTTCTACATGTTTAATTGACTCTACTTCACTATCAATATTTACAACAAATAATAACTCAAAAATATTTATCCATCAAACTAACCCTACCTGCCACACTTGTCTTAGAGGTACTATTGCTGTGATGAAACACCATGACCTAAAGGAAAGCATTTACTTGGAGCTTGCTTACAGGTTCAGAGGTTTAGGCCATTGTTGTCATGGCAAGAGGGGAGGTAGCATGCAGGCAGGCATACATGGTACTGGAAAAGTGACTGAGAGCTCTACATCCAGATCCTCAGAGAGATACTGGGGCTGGCTGAGCATTTGAAACCCCAAAACCCACCCACCAGTGACACACCAACCCCAACAAGAAAACACGAATAGTGCCAATCCATTCTAACAAAACATTCAAATATATAAGCCTGTGGGGGCCATTCCACCACAAAGCTAAAAAAGAAATCCCTTTTATTTCTTGTCTTGTTTTTATTTCAATAAACATCTTTTGCGTGCATACATGTGTGGCTGTTTACTGGTTAACTAAAAACTTAAATTATGTTTTCATCAGATCCCAAGGAAGAGAAAGAAGATGATTCTATCCTCCCTCAGGAAGTTTCCATTTCTGCAACTAGACCTAGCCGTGGCTGGCGCAGTAGTAGCAGGACATCTATCTCTCGCCTTCGAGACACTGAGAATACTCGGAGCTCTAGGTCCAAGACTGGTTCATTGCAACTCGTCTGCAAGTCAGAACCAATTACAGATCAGCTTGATTATGGTATGATACAAATTCAGTATGGTTACTCCAGTACCTAGTTGGTTCTTTAATCTTAAATGTATTGCTGAGCATTTACTTACATGTTTTTAATTTTCAGGCAGGTAGTAATATAGATGGGATTTGTTTCAGATATGCTGCAAATAGTCTCCATTTAGAGAACTATTTCATACAGTTACAGTGATCACTTAATCTTTAGCTATGAAGAGTAATGTCTCATGTTTCTCAATAAATTTCTGTTTTAATTTTCTAGACGTTCCAGAAGAACATCAGTCTCCCGGTGGCATTAGGTATAAAATTTATTTCAAAAATTTCTTGATTATTCATTTTCATTAAATGACTGAGACTTCTTATTTGTTATTTGAGCTGTTAAATTAACATTTTTAATATATCACACACTTAATATTCCACATTTGATTTTAAATGGACCATAAAACATAAAACTTAGTTTCTTTGGGTGAACTTATTCTGTCTTACCAGTGTTTTCATGGTACTTTGGTGATTTAATGTTGGCTAAGTCTTGTATGATATAACACATTATCAGACATAGAATTACAAAGTCAGTTGTCTAACTCTTCATGCCATTGGGCAATTGTTTCTCGTTTTACTTAAAATGTTATATCTTATTTGTGTAGTCTGAATTCTAAGTATTGCTTAAAATAAAGGAGCTTAGGATGTAGTCCAATCAGATCATAAGGATGGAAATTTTGGATAATATGAACTTTTTACTGTATCTCAGAATTCTAATTCAGTCCTATTAAATAGTCCTTGGAACCAAAATTTATCATTTGTTTGTTTATTTGTAGTAGTGATGAGGAAGAGGAGGAGGAAGAAGAGATGTTAATCAGTGAAGAGGAAATACCATTCAAAGATGACCCAAGAGATGAGACCTACAAGCCCCATCTTGAAAGGCATGTTTGAAATTTTACTATACTAGTAGAAAATACATAGGAATATACTGAATATATTTGCTTTATTTTTGTTGCAAGATTACAGAAGCACAAAAATAATTTTTAAATGAATGGTTGTTTTGCAACTATAACATTTTACTCTCTCATATAGCCTTCTCTTTGATCTAATGACCTTTAATATTGACTATACTATTTAATAGATGTGTGCATGTTTTAATAATGTTTTCTGGAATGTTTAGAATTGTTTTCGCTCAATATCTTTTATTTCTCTTTACAACTATAGTGAGATTTGATTTTTTTTCTATGGTTTGGCCTTTTGCTATGATGACCATTGATGACCTAAGCAAATTGGGAAGGAAAAGGTCTGTTTAGCTTACTCTTCCATACTTACCGACCTTCACCAAAGGAAGTCAGGACAGAAACTCAAACAGGACTATAACCTGGAGACAGGTGCAGATGCAGAGGCTATGGTGGGGCGCTGCTTCCTGCCTTATTCATCATGGCTACCTCAGCATGCCTTCTTACAGACTCCAGTACCACCAGCCCAGGGTTGGTCACATCCACAATGGGCTGGGTTCTCCCCCATGTGTCACTGTTAAGAAAACACCCTCCAGGCTTGCCTACAGCATAGTCTTGTGGAAGCATTTTCTTAGTTGTGGTTCTTTCCTTTCACATGACTGGCTTGTGTCAGGTTGACATAAAATTAGCCAGTATGAATCAGTATTCACCCATGGGCATAATATGTGTGCATCTTTGCTGTGGGGTGAAGGTGTGGACAACTGATAGGAGGTTGTGGTTTGTAAGCTGAGGATCACAGCTTTAGAATAATGACATAATGATAAACCTTAAGTTTTAACCTGGTGTTATAACACTGTCTGTAATGGAGGCTTTGTTAGAATATTTGTGTTGAAATGTTTTTCTTTTTTCAGGGAAACCCCAAAGCCACGGAGAAAATCAGGGAAGGTGAAAGAAGAGAAAGAAAAGAAAGAAATTAAAGTGGAAGTAGAAGTAGAGGTGAAAGAAGAAGAGAATGAAATTAGGGAAGATGAGGAGCCTCCTAGGAAGTGAGTAGGCAGTTGTATACTACTAAAGTGGAAGCCTTCCTTAAAACCACTAGTAGACAGGCTTCAAGTTACATGTGAGTGCCTTCGTGGGCGTGCACACACATTCAGGCATGAGGCCTGATACATTTAATCCCAGCATTTGGGAGACAGAGACAAACCAGGGCTACATAATGAGACCCTCTCTCAAATAAAAAAAAACCCAAACACATGAAATGGATGTACGAATGTGTAAAATGCTGATGTTAAGCAACATAGAGTTTCTTTGGCACAACTTCTCAGAAGCTTGGAAGGTTGTTTTGGTGTTGGTTTTGTATTACTCTAAAGCAATATATTAGTAAGTCCAAATGAGCAAAAGACAGTATTTATAGGGATACAGAGGGAATAAGAAAGCCAGAAAAAAATCTCAAATATGTGTCCTCAAAAACTAACAAATAAGTTAAATGAAGCAGAAGCCTTGATTCTGTAAAATCTTTCTTTGTGGCACACACTTTGTAGTAGAAATAAGAATGTTTTATTAGCTTCTTGATTGTCATTTTTAATTAGTTGCATTAGATGATAAACTCTTTACTATAACTAGCCTTCAAGTAATAACATTGAAATTTAGCCAGATATTCCATAGTAATGCCTAGCTTACTTTTCTAAGATAAAGAATAATTTGAGTGGAATTACCTCAGAGTAAATCTGGCTTAGTGGCCAGATGCTTTGCTTTTGTTTTGTGTGTCTGTGTGTGTTATTGGTTATGGCCTGTGTCTACCAGCTATTCTTTGGTCCCTAGAATATGCTCCAGCCATCCTTATCTATATTAGCTTCCATCTAGAATATTTAGTTAACTGTTCTTTCTTAAATTATAGGAGAGGGAGAAGGAGAAAAGATGACAAAAGTCCACGGTTGCCCAAAAGGAGGTGAGGCATTTTGCTTTTGTTTTGTTTTGTTTTTGTTTGGTTTGTTTGTTTTTATACCTTAGGTCGTTGGTAGGTGTTTGACTAATTTAACATTCTTAAACAAAGAAGGTGTGGCTTATTGAAACTTTTAGAAATGTGGTTTATGTTCATGATGCACAGATGGTGTTTTCATTCTCAGTGCTGGATGCTGAGTCATCTGAAATAAATCCTCAGTACTGTTTACCTTTTTATAGCTTGCTACCTTATGCTCTTTTTAAACTATCAAACACTTGGCAGTTTAATAATTTTATGAAACATATGTATTACGTGCATTTTTTCCGATGGCCTGGGCCCACATCCACGCCAGCCCCAAATAACACACAGAGATACTGTATTAGAAATAATTCTGTTGGCCAGTTACTAGCATTTATTATTGGCTAGCTCTGTCTTACATATTAACCCATTTCTATCAATCTAATTATTTCCACGTGGTCTTATCTTACCAGAGAGAAGTCCTAGTGTTCTACCCTCATGGTCCTACATTTTGAAACTCTTCCTACCTCCTCCTCGAATCTTCCTTGACTCCTAGTCCTGCCTATCTTGCTTTCCTGTTGGCCAACAGTGCTTTATTCATTAATTAATATGAGACACATATACAGAATGACATCTCCCATTACCTATGTATCACTATAGATATTTTAATTTATATGAGACATCTATTATCACACTATATATAGAATATCACTTCTCTTGCTAATTTTTCTGACATTTTGTTAATGTTAATAGAAAAAAACCTCCAATCCAGTATGTGCGTTGTGAGATGGAAGGATGTGGGACTGTTCTTGCTCACCCTCGCTATTTACAGGTCAGTGAAGTTGTTACACATGACAGTCTTTCATGCAGTGTCCATTACTTGCCTCCTAAGATGTCAATTTGTGTGCCATTTGTAAATTCTGACATAAAATATGAAGAAAAATATTCCTAAGTATAAAATTGCATAAATCATCTTTACTACACTTATACTTCTTTAATAGGGTAACAGAGACTAGTAATTTAAAGAACAAATAAATGTATTGGCTTTTGATCTGAGTCCCTTAGAAGTCTTAAGAGTGTGGTACTGGCAGGTGGGGGGAGGGGTCTTCTTACTTTTCTACAGAGTATAAGACTAAGGACAAGAAGGAAGCCTGAAGAATCTGAGTTCACCCTGTTAACAACTTTCATCTATTTGTGAGGACAAAACACATAAACATAACTCAGCATGATTGCATTAAAGAATTAAGTTTTTAACACAGGAACCTTGGCAGATACAATTAAACCTTAGTTCATTCTATTAAAGAAATACTAATGAAGAACTAAAAATCCTGAGCCAAAGTACAGGAATTTTCTTGAATTTTTACAGTGTTACAATATGTCCCAAAATGGCATGAAGAATCCCTCTTCAACAGATCATTGTAATAATACACAAAGACACAGAATAATAAATTTTAACTTTAATATATATTAGGATAAAATGAATAAAGCATTCAAACTAGCAATTTCTTTGAGATAGTACAAACTAATACAAAAGTGATTTTTTTAAAAATTTTAGATCTAAGGTTTTCTTTAACTGAATAGATAATTAATTGCCTGGGTTTCTGTGTATGTACAAGTCTGGCAAGAAATGGTTCTGTTACAGTAAGTGTAGCTACTGTTTTTTGAGTTTTGTCATGTGCCATTTGATATACCCATTATTGTATTTTTATTTTACGAATGAAAACTAAAACTTAAAATGTTTACTTATATCTAAGATCATATTGCTACTGAGTGACAGGTGCAGATTGGAATTCAGGTCATACCGTATGTTCTTTACCATTTTACTCTAGTTTTCCTTAAGTACTTTTAGTTGATTTGGAAAAAAAAAAAAATGAAAATGCTGAGAAAACTTACTTTTCCTTTTCACTCTCCTTTTGCTTTTTAGCACCACATTAAATACCAGCATTTGCTGAAAAAAAAATATGTATGTCCCCATCCCTCCTGTGGACGACTCTTCAGGCTCCAGAAACAACTTCTGCGACATGCCAAACATCATACAGGTACATATCTAAGTAAAAGGTTTATCATGTAGCCAAGAGAACTGTAGTTTGGGCATATAGTCTGGTAATGAACCAAGATTTTTCTAGTACAAGTCTTCTTAAAAGGGCCTAATCTGACAAGCATGGAAGAAAATTAGGAAAATAAGTGTTAATATAAACATACAAAAATTTAAATATGCCATTTTTGAGTTGGACTTGGTCACACACATCTATAATCCCAGCACTAAGAAACTTAAAGGAGGAGTTTGAATTCCAAGCCAGACTGGACTATGTAAATTGAACCTGTTTTAAAAGCAGATATAGAGGAGGTATCAGTTTTCATTAACAAGTCTTGGCTGTCCTGAAATTCACTATGGAGAACAGTCTGGCCTCATACTCCCACTAATTCTGCCATAGTTTCCCAGGTATTGGGATTGGTGCTCACTGATTTTTCTATTCTTGGAATAACCATGTTGTTGGGATAAAGTGTTTGCCCCACAAGCATGAAGACCAGAGATCAGATTCTCTAGGACCAGGCAGGTGGCTTCCTATAATCCTAGCACTTGGGAAATAGCTTCCCTAGGGCGGTCTGACTGACTCTAGGTTCTGTGAGCAATCCTGCCTCAAAGAATGAAGTGGAGAGTGCTCCCAAAAGACATACTTCAACTTCAGTCCTTCATATACACCATACTCATGCAAAACTAAATAATTTACATTTTTAAAAAATGAATATTACAGGATAATATTCATCAGCTAGATCTTTAGGACTTTTACTATCTGTACTCAGAGTATTGATCTTTTACTAGACATATATTCTGTGTCAGCTGTGAACTTAACATATAGCTATGCTAATGTCTACTCAACACCACTAAGCTGTGTTTTATACCTAAGAAACCAGAAGTTTAGAAGAATTAAGCTGTTTGCCAATTCTGCTTCAGGTATATATTTATCAGCAAAGATAGAAACTTGGAAGTAGCTATTAGAGAATAAAAATAGAATGAACATTAATGAGAAAATCTAAAAAGTAAAGGGGGTTTGCTTTAATTTATTTTTTCTTTTAATTAGCTCAAGATGGTTATATCTGTGGACCTCATAAAAGCTGGTTACTGGACTTGTTTGCTAATTCCTATAGAAACAACTCAAAAACAGAAGCTGACTAATAATGTATTACAGAATAGGCTCAAATTCTATTTATTCACAGCCACTGACAATCTTTTTTTTTTTTTTTAATTATTTTACATGTTGATACCTGTTCCCTCTCCCTCCCTCCCCCTCCCTCTTACCCTCTCTGCCCCCTCACATGCACCCTGACCACCTTCCCCTCCCATCTCCCCACCCCAATTACAATGTAGGGCAATGCTGTCCAGGTGGAGTCATGTAAATCTGTCGAGTCATTTGAAGTAGGGACTAGGACTTCTCTCCTGTCTCTAGGTTAAGGCAGTATCCCTCCATGGGGGATGTGTTCACAAGGTCCTTTTGTGCACCAGGAATACATCCTGGTTCCACTGTCTGAGGTCCCTTAGACTGCTCAGTCCTTCTGGCTGAGACCCATATTCAGCCACTGACAATCTTAATGAAATTCTGCTTTCAGCATAAATTGAGTCACCTGTTAATACTATATAATCCTAAATGGATATATCTCACACCTGATAATTTCATACATTCTCTCCTCAGTCTTCGACGGTGAGACTAAAAATTTCCCTTGAAAAAAAATGACCCTCCTGATAATGATATACATACTCTCACTTAACTAAGTTACTTGGCTTTTCACTTTTCCTTAACTATAAAGTACAGAGAACAAGATGAAATGAGATAATGTGTTTCTATATATTATAAAGAACTTGCAACATAGCAAGTATGAACTCTTATGTGTTGTGGGAACTCATTCAGCCAATAAACTTTAGGTACCGGCCCCTGGAGCTGTCTGGGGGCAGGAAGGCAGATGGAGTCCATTTCAGGTGCGGATGCAAGTAGAAGTGGGGCTTTGAGCAAAGGGGACATGCAGCCACTAGGACAAGTTCCAGCTGTCTGCCAACACAGCAGGGAGTCAGGGGCAGTACACTTAACCCGGTGAGCCTGAGAGCTCTGAGGTGCTGTGGAAATACATAGGGCGCCTACTTTGGGGGCAGTTTGCCACTTTGGGGCCTTTGGTGTTCTGGCCACATGGACACCAAATTGTGTTGAATGATTGTAAGAGTACATGAGAGCCCAGAATAAAGGGAAGTCGGGTATTTATTGGTGATCACCCACAAACAACAAAGTAGAATGACAAATTAGAGACCAGCACCCAAGAGACAGCTTGCTTCCCAGTCCACACATAGCATTTGAGGCCTCTCCCAAAGGGGGTTGGTACCTCGAAAACTATTAGCGGAATGAATTCTCACAAAACTTGTGTATTAACTTTCCCCAAAGTCTATAATCTTGTTATACTATATCAATTTAAAAAATTAAAAAAGAAAACCATGCTGTTTGTTCCCTAAATATATGCTATACATTTTTTTTCTCCCTCTGTACTGTTTTTGTCTCACTGAAAATCTTCCTGACTGCCAGCTTAGACCTATTTTAGCTAAATATCACAAATCTACTATGAGAAACATTTTAAATGTTTTCTGGTTCAAATATTTATATTTGGTTAATATAATTTCAGAGTGTTATCTTTTCCTTTGGAAATTAGTATATGCAGGACCCCACCCCTCTTTGTTAATGTAACTTATCAAGTAGGTGCCCTACACATTTTCTGTACTCCATGGAAACTGAAATATTTGAAGCTGGCTTCAGAATATTTCTTTTAAGACTTTTAAGAGTGACATCTGAGTGATGTTGTTCCTATAGAAATGTAGTATACAACACAGAATAGTCGGCATTGGCACCATTTGGGTTTTTGCTAGCATTCTCTTATATGTGATGAATCAACATATTCATTAGTATCTCCAAGGTGATTGCTGTGTTTGTTTAAATTTGAGGAAAAACATAGCTGAGTGAACCACTTATGTATCTAGTTGGTTCACATGTTAAAGCTACTTGGGAAAGAACACTTATTGACTTATTTACACGTTTGTACGTCAAGTAGTTTTAAATTGAATAAAAACTGTAGTAGTTACTAAACAAATTATTCAACGTGTCTTTGTCCATTGGCTCCCTGACCAAGTAGTAGAAACAGTACAGTGATCCTTTATGTCATTGATTCTACACTATGCTAGATTTATTTAAGTCCTATGAAACTTGAGGTGAGGAAGGGAGTTACAATGAAAGGAGGAAATACTTGAATTGTGCAGAAGATACAGGGTAGCAAATAAGATAAAGAAATGCAAATGACATTTGCATTCGTTTGAAATACTATCTGGCCATCATTCAGCCAGAAATGGTATGTTTTTTACTGTTTTAGATATAAATCAACTTGTTTTTGTTGTGGTTGGTTGGTTGGTTGGTTGGTTGGTTGGTTGGTTGGTTGGTTGGTTGGTTTTTTTCAAAACAGGGAAACAGGGTTTCTTGGTAGCTTTGGAGGCTCAGTAGATCAGGCTGGCCTCGAATTCACAGAGTGCTGGGAATGATGGCTTGCGCCACCACTGCCCAGTTTAGCTATATTGTTTTGTTTTGTTTTTTTTTTTTTTTTTTTTTTTTTTTTTTTTTTTAATGTGAACATTGTCCACAATCTGTGATGGATATTTTAAAGAATAAATCCGATGGAAAATGCACTTAATGTCTGTTAAAATAACTCTTCTTTTGCTGGGAGGAGACACCGTGGTCAATGCAATTTTTATTAAAGAAAAGCATTTAATTTGGGAGCTTGCTTACAAAGTTAGAGTGTTAGTCCATTATCATGTCTGGGAATGTGGCAGCAGGCAGTCATGTTGCTGGGGAAGTAGCTGAGAGCTCATATCTGATACACAAGTTGCAGGCCAATAGACTGTTCCTGGCTTGGGTCTTTGAAACCTCAAAGCTCACCCCCATTGAGTCTTTTCCAGCAAGGACACACCTCCTGATCCTTCCTGAATTGTTCTCCAGTTGGGAAACAGACATTCAAATGTGTGAGCTTATGGAGACCATTCTCTAAACAGCCACAAAATCCTAAGCAATTTGTTCAAGATTTGAAACTGGGACTAAGGGTCTGGTTTTCTTATTTATACCTAGCTTTTTGATTTGGGTGGGTTTGTTTTGGTTTTTTGAGGCAAGGTTAACTATGTAGCCCTAGTTGACCCAGAATTCACTATGTAGACCAGGTTGGTTTAATAGAAGAGATCTGGGTGGGCGGTGGTATTGCACACCTTTAATCCCAGCACTAGGGAAATAAAGGCAGGCGAATCTCAGTGAGTTCGAGGCCATCCTGGTCTTGAAAGAGAGTTCCAGGACAGTCTCCAAACCTACAGAGCAACCATGTCTTGAAAAAAGAAAAAGAAGAGAAGGAGAAGTCATCTGGCTGACTCTGTCTCCTAAGTTCTGGGACTAGCCCGGTTACTCCAGTTTATACACTTCTATCTCAAGATTTGGAGCTAGGAACCACAAGTGTTAGAGAATTTTTGTCTTTGTGAATCTGGGTCACCCCACTTGATATATTTTCTACTCCCATCAATTTCCTTGCAAATTTCATTTTCCTTCCCTGCTGAATAGAACATTGTACATATGTACCACATTTTCATTACTCGTTATCAGTTGAAAGACATTTAGTTTGTTTGCATTTCCTAGCTACTGTAGAACAGCAATAAACATGACTGAGCAAGTACCTGTAGGGTAGGATGTCAAGTCCTTTGGGTATATGTCAAAGTGGAATAGCTGGTCCATTTGGTAGCTTTATGTTTATCTCTGAAGATTCTCCACACTGATTTTCAAAGTATCTCCATCAGTTCGCAATCCCAGCAACAGTGGGTGAGGGCTCTATTCCTTCCTCCATTCAGCATTTGTTGTCAGTTGTTTGGTTAGCCATTCTGGCAGGGATAAGATGGAATTGTTTTCATTTTATATTTCTCTAATTTCTGAGGGTGATATACACTTTTTGTGGTATTTCTTGGCCACTTTTATTTCTTTTGTAACTGCAGATCTGTAGCACATTTTTCCAAATTGATAGTCTTCTTGGTTCTTTGTATTATGTATGTATATTAAATATTAATCATCTGTAAAATGCATAGCAGGCCTAGGTTCTTGCCTGTTCAATAGGTTTCTTCTTCACTCCAGGGCCATAGGGACTAGCACTGTTGGGCGATATAGCCTTATTGAAGTAGGTATGGTGTTGTTAGAGGAAGTGTGTCACTGTGGGTAGGCTTGGGGTATCAGAAGCTCAAGCTAGGCAGAGTGGATCATTGTCTTCTGCTGCCAGATATAGACCTTTCAGCTACCTCTCCAGCGCCACGTCTACCTGCATGCCACCATGTTTCTTTCCTGCCATGACAATAACAAACTAAATCTCTGAACTATAATCTAGTCCCAATGAAATATTTTGCTTTATAAAAGTTGCCATGGTCGTGGTGTTTTTCACAGCAGTAACACTCTAAAAGAGCCCTACTTATCAGTTGTTGGTGTTAATTCCTGGGCAGATAGAGTTCTATTCAGAAAGTCTTTCCTACACCTATAGCTTATGTTTATTTCTAGCAATTTCAGTATTTCATGATTCATACTGAGGTCTTTGATTCATTTGGAGTTAATTTTTGTGCATGTTGATAAATGTGGATCTTATTTCATTAGATAGCTCATTTTCCCAGCACCATTTCATAAAGATGCTATCTTGTTTCTAGTGCTTGTGCTTAGGAATCTTTTATTTCTAAGTTTTATAGTCAAATATAATTTAATTGTTGTATAATTAAAAAATTATTACTGCTATAATAAACACCATGGCCCAAAGCACTGTGGGGAGGAAGGGATTTATTTTGCTTATACGTTCACTTCACAGTTCATCAAAGGAAGTAAGGGCAGGAACCTAGAGGCAGGAACTAAAGAAGATGCCATAGAAAAACATTGCTTACTGGCTAATCCTATAACTACCTGCCCATAGGTGGCACCACCCACAGTGAACTAGGCCCTACAAGGTCAATCATAACCTGAAGTACCACAAGCCAATCTACTGGGGCTATTTTCTCAGTAGAGGTTCCTCTTTCAAATAACCTCTAGCTTGTGTTAAGTTTACATAATACTAGATAGCATAGCATCTTCTTCAAAAACTCAGGTGGCTATAGTTATGTGCACATGTATTTGTGAGATGTTCATTCTAAGCTGGAACCTCTAAAAAATATTTTTATTCTTAGAGAATTTCTTGGCGACATATCTTGATTGTAATCAACCTCTGCTCCTCCCTTGAACTCCTGCCAGATCCATTCACCCACAGTGTGCTCTGGTTTTTTAGACTATCTCACAGTAGTTGTCTTGGCCCTTTCTCTGCCTCTTAAAATCTTTTTGTGCAACTTTATGATTTTAATGGGATTGGTGTTTGTTTCTTTTTCTCTAAGACAGTGGTTCTCAACCTTGATAATGCTGCTACCCTTAAATATAGTTCCTCATGTTGTGGTGACCCCCAACCATAAAGAAAATATTTTCATTGCTACTTTATAACTGTAATTTTGAATCATAATGTAAATATCTGATATGCAACCCTTGTGAAAAGGTCTTTCAACCCCCAGAAGAGTTGCAACCCTTGGGTTGGGAATTGCTAGTTTTAAGACAATGTTCACTGTTTTCTTACATAATAACCTTTATTATTTTCAGGTTTGTTCTTTCCAATCCCTCTCTTTAGGATTTTTATCATAAAAGCTTTTTGGATTTTGTCAAAGACTTCATGTGTCCACTAAGATGATCCTGTCATTTTTTACTTTAAGTCCATTTGTATCATTTGTTTACATCCCTGCATCTCTGGGATGAAAATCAACTTGATCATGGTGGAGTGTCTTTTTGATATGTCTGTATTTAGTTTGCAAGTATTTTATTGGTAGTTTTGTATCTGTGTATCAGGGATATTGGCCTGTAGTTTTATTTTTTGTGTGTGTCTCTACCTAGCTTGAGTATTAGAGTAACATTGGCTTCTAGAATTACATTTTTAAGCTGATTTTTATTCTACTGAATATATGGATGGAAAATAAAATCAAAACTATTTTTTTGTTGTTGTTGTTAAATTTAGCTTGTTCATAATATTAACTCTTTTGCTAGAGACTGTGCTAGAGACTACCTGCCAGAAGACTTGCTCACCTGCAAACTGCAGAAAATACTTAGCAGGTATCTTAATGGAACATTAACCACATTTTTTTTTCTCCTTAGATCAGAGGGATTATATCTGTGAATATTGTGCTCGGGCCTTCAAGAGTTCCCACAATCTGGCAGTACACAGGATGATTCACACGGGCGAGAAGCCATTACAGTGAGTATTTACTTACTAGTGAACATCTGGGTAGGAGTGCTCTCTTGGAGGCTTGTCGTCCCTTATAAACAAAACATTTCAGTGTCAGATATTCATTGGGGATTTTTTTCTTGTTCTTTGTTTAGCTTTTCCTTTGTGAATATATTTTTTTATTAGTTTGAGAATTTATTCTGCCTTAACCACTTTGCATTCCAGCCATGGAACCCAGTTTGTTCTGCCTGTGTATATGTTTTCAGTTCTCACCTGGCTCCTGACTTAAGAATTCTCTGCTTGATTGTTCATTTCCTTTGGATTTCCTTTAGATGTGAGATCTGTGGATTTACTTGTCGACAAAAGGCATCCCTTAATTGGCATATGAAGAAACATGATGCAGACTCCTTCTACCAATTTTCTTGCAATATCTGTGGCAAAAAATTTGAGAAGAAAGACAGCGTAGTAGCACACAAAGCAAAGAGCCACCCTGAGGTGCTGATTGCAGAAGCTCTGGCAGCCAATGCAGGCGCCCTCATCACCAGCACAGATATCTTGGGCACTAACCCAGAGCCCCTGACACAACCTGCAGATGCTCAGGGGCTTCCTCTTCTTCCTGAGCCCTTGGGAAACTCAGCATCTGGAGAGTGTCTACTGCTAGAAGCTGAAGGGATGTCGAAGTCATACTGCAGTGGGACAGAACGGGTGAGCCTTATGGCTGACGGGAAGATCTTTGTGGGAAGCGGCAGCAGTGGGGGCACTGAAGGGCTGGTCATGAACTCGGATATACTCGGTGCTACCACAGAGGTTCTGATTGAAGATTCAGACTCTACTGGACCTTAGTGCAAAGGAAGACTTTGGGCACTGGGACAGTGCAGACTTTGTATTTAAAAGATAAAAAGGACAAAAAAAAAAAAAAAATTCAAAGCATTTAAAATCTAGTAAAATAACTGAAGGGCCTGCTCTTTGCATTGTGGATCACAACACACACACATACACAGAGTCTATCTATATCTCTATCCCCTTCCCCTGAAGTTTCCTCCCTCATCCTTAAAACATTGATGTTGCCTTTACCAGAAAGGTCATTGAAAAAGCAGCAGCATACTTGGTTCCAGCCATCAGCAGCAGACTTCCTGCTCATCGGCAGATCTCCTTATCCCAACCTGTAAATCTGATGTGCTCTGGATCAGCTTTTAACTCATAATAGTATATTACTGTCATCTAAGTCTTTTCTCCTCTACTGCTGCCCTATGGCTCTGGCTTCTCCCCACTGCAACAACCAACACTTACCCTCAAATATTAGAGGCTGGCAATTTGACTTGGCACTTTAGGGCCCCTTAGCAGGATGCTGTTAAAACAGTACACATCTCTCATCCCTCTTCCATTACTCACTGGGTTTGGGGAAGGAAGGATGATACATGGGGACCACCTCCCTTCCCTTTCAGTGGATCCCAGCACCTCAGTCCCCCTCCCAAACCTCCATATGGCTCTTAATGGTGCTCACTTGCTTGGAAGCAGGCTCCCAAGAGAGAGGGGACTGCCCTATGACAGTCTTTTTTGGCTGTAAGATGGGGCTCTATATCAGTGAGAAAAGTCCCAGGCTAATGGCAGAAATTTGCACTTTGAACATGTGTGTTTTTGTGTTTTGGAACCTGAGATTCCTTATTTATTAATGGAAAGTCTGATTTTTTGGGGGGGAGGGTCTTTGTTGCTATGTTTTGTGGGGCTGGGAGAGTAGATTATTCTGACATGGGATCCTTCCTACAAGAGGTACTTTGAAGGCAAGGCTTAGAGTTAAAGAAGCACAGCCAGCCTCTAAAATCATAGTTTTCCAGTGGCCTTTAAAGAAAGCTGGTCCTCAGCACTAACAGAATCACTACAGTAGCCTAGTGCTTTTTTGGAAGCCTTAGGGAAGGTTGATAGGTTATGGTAACTAGTGTGCTCTTTGAGATACAAGGATTTGAAGGGATGAGGTCTGAATCACACATAAAAGATTTTTTTTTTCTTCTGTGAATTTATTTTCTTTTTTGTCCTCACTATTTCTTTACATTTATCTCCTAACTCTGACCCCTTGTTTTGATTTTGGTTTTGTCATTGGTCATTCCAGCTCTCCATTAGTGGGAGACCAGACCATGTCATTCATGAAGGAACAAAATTGATGAGTTTTGGTTAAGAGAAAATTGTCTTGCCTTCCCCTTTAGAAGAGACAAAGTTTGAATAGACAAAAGCAGAGGTGAAAAATCTATGTGATAATGTCTTTGCCTTTCCCCGAATTATCTATTTTCATTGAAGTAGGGATTTTAATGCATTGTGAATTGTTTATTTCTGTCATTGGGAGACACAGATCGTGGTTTTGTATGCTTATACCTCTCAGAAGACTAAAACCCTAATTCAGCTCATTATTTTTTTGAGAATTAGAAGTGCAGTCCCTCCCTATGTGCTTCAGAATCTGCCATTGAAGACCTGGCCAGATGTTGTCAGAAATACATGCTGACTGTTGGGAAAAATGAGAGTCTGACTGAGAACAAAATAAGGAACAGTTTGTTTTTCACAAACACTAAAACTATGGAGTTTATCAAATTTTCTTTGCTTAATTTTTTCCCAGAAAAATGTCATCTCTGAAAGACGCTTACTGTACACCCACCACTGTCACTGTTTGGGATGCCAGGAGGAGGGAGGAAGACACCTACAGGAACAATCTTAAACACATTATTGTTTCCTCTAGAGTGTTGCAGACTTTGCCAACCCCTCCCATGGTGAGGGGAGAGAAGGCATAAAGACAGGCTTTCCTGCCCCACAGTTTGCAGTTGACTTTGGTACATTGGTTTGAAATTTACATTGACTTTGGTACATTGGTACACAGATTTGAAAATACTGTAAGAGTAATTATAAATGGGACTACAACAAAGTTGCTCTACGTGATACTGTTTCTCTAACTAATGTTTGTATTCTACACTTACCATTTGTTTTTCACATTTAGACTATCTCCATAAATTTCACTTAGAATGGTTACTCATCAAATATAGCCACCCACAGAGAAGCAAACTGCATTGTAAACATCTTTCTGGGATGGGGAGAAATGTTCTTTTCTGTACCTCACTCCCCTCCCCTTGAAAGCAACTGGTTATAATAATTAGAAACATCCTATCCTCTCATTTGGGGGAGAGTGTGTAAGGGGGCTGGGTCATCTTCATAGCTACCATTTGCTGACAATAAATTATTGTAGCAGTTTGCAATAAATTTTAAGGTAGTTTTCATGAACTTTACATTTTTTCTTTTGAGAACAAGTGCTAGCATAGTAAAAGTGTAAGCAAACTAAGCACGATTCCCATTTCCTTTCTTCCCATGCAACTCATTTAATTGTCCTTTAAGGAGTCCTTTTAATCTTCAAAATTGGTAGATATGTCATGCTCTTATCTTACTATCTTTTAAATAGCTAGTCATCCCTCCAATTTCAAATGGCAGTTCTAAATTTTATAGATATAGTTGTGATAATTACTTGGTATTTCTGGGAGTTATGCATACTCCTTGCTTGGGTTGCTGGTGTATTTTGCATAACCCTAACACATTTTACAGGGTTTAGTCAGATGCTGGCTGGGAGTCCTGGGGATGAGTACAGAAAACATTATCATAGAGCACTTGGACCTCCCTCACACCTGTTTGGAGGAAGAATGTGAACTCTACCACCAACCTATTTGAGGTCTTACAGCCTCACCGCAGACCAGTTTCACTCCTGTCTTCTAATTTTCCATATACTCAAGAAAATCAGAACATTGTAATGGGGCAGTTATATTTCCTAAAACCTTTTTTGCCTGTTGAAATGTGCAGGACCCTTTTCCTGTGATGAGAGATAGGTGGTTACTTGATCTAGGTTTAAAAGTTATGTTAAAAAAAAATTATAATAAAAGGGATACTTTGCTTTTAAAATCTTGTTTCCTCTTAATCTAGTTGATCATATTCAAAATAAGTATGTAAAGAAGAAAAATAAAAGTTGTCTTCCTGGAAGCAACTAGTCTTCCTTGGTTGTACCGAGTTAGTCATCCAAGAGTAAACAGTTGATACTGCTAAATGAAGAAAACAGATGCCTCCAGGGTAGACTTTTGTATGCTGCTAGTTGCTCTTTGTTGAGAGTTGGGTAGCGGTTCTAATGCTGAGATGCCTGTTTGGCAGACTCCAAATACTGCTTCATTTGCTTACTTGGGGATGTTAAAAGATACTGGGAAGTACATTGGACTCTGATGATGGAACCTTGGTTGCATTTAACATCAGTGCTTCTTGACAAACTTATAATACCTGTGTCGAGTTCTAATTTTAAAAAAGAAAACAGTGTAATCTTGGTAAAAGTTTAGTGGCAGTCATTCCTCATTTATTGTTTGCCTTTGTCAATTTGCTCCTTAGATTACAAGTGTTTGAACTTCTTTGCAACATCTGATATGAAATAGGGACACTCACAGACCCATTTGAGGATGAAACTTTGAAACTTTAGCCAATTAGCATCACCCACTGAGTGCAGTACAAAAGAATGACAGATCTGTAAGCACCTTTTAACTCTTTTGTCCTCATTTCAAAGCCTGTTCATTCTCTTGTTTAGCATGGAGTATGACTTTGACTGGGAAGAAAAAGAAGCATGTTGTCACTTGAGTAAGACTGCCTGAGAAATGTTACCAAGTTAGAGTTGGGTGTTTCCTTTGGGAGAGAACAGGCCTAAACAGTGCCTTCCACATCCTGTAGCTACTAGGAAGGCTCCATGATTGAGATTAGAGATGCTCCTTTACCTAATTTTTAAACAAGTTTAAATTAACCTTATGAAGGATGAGGATGGAAACATGCTGCCAAGGACCTGTATCACATAGTCTTTGTCTCTTTCATAAAACAGGAGCTTCACAAAGAAATCGTAAAAGGGGTTAGGGGATGAATATACCAAATGACCAGAGCAGAAACATAACTTTAGTTTATTGAATTTTTTTGATAAGAGTTTCTTATATCAAATGAGAAAGCTACTATTTACTCCCAAAGATACTAATATTTAGCCCAAAATCAGTCTTAAGAATCAAATGAAGTTTAAATGCTACAGCACAGTATCTGACCCATTTGATAACCTAACTCAATACATTTTGCCATACTAAAATAAAAATTTAGAATGTAAAAAGCAGAATAAAATCAATAGATTATATGTGACAATAACACTACATTAGGCAGGGGTGGGTGTCATGAGGATTAGTGTGATAGTGACCTTGTTGCTAAGTACAAAAGCAAAACAATGACATGAAAACAAGTGCTAAGTACTGAGTGGAGGAGAGAGATGGAGACAGACGCTGCAGAGGGGAAAAAAAAAAGACTGATTAAAAAGGGCCCTTTGATTCCACAGGCACAAAAATCCACAGCCAGGAATTTGCTACCACCTCTGAGTCAGGCAGGGGGTGGGGATGGGGGTGCACAATCCCATTAGAGAATGCCCAGTGGATTTAGTCTGTGGGAGTCACATTTCTTATTTGGCCCAGTGAAGACAGAAGCAAACCAGCTCACTTGTTTCCTGGGACAGTTGATTTAGGGGATGGCTTTTGCTGAGCAGTCACCTCTGACCCTTCACCGCCGGGACCTCTGTAGCCGTTCTATCTGGTTAGCAAGGAAGATTCGTTCAGACCTGACTGCTCTTATGGAATCTTATGTAAGTTGTCTATTTTGCTGTTGTCTGTTTTCAACTCTTCTAACCCAACACTAAACCATCATGTTCCAACCCCATAACCAATTATCTAGTCTTAATGGTCATTCATATATTAAACACCTATAATTTGCCATGGCCTCTCCCTTGAGATCCTTATTGTCTTCCTGTAGCCTCCTTAAGAGACAAGTCTTTCCGTGAATGAGAAGATACAGTATTTGATTGCCTTTTTTCTGAATCTTACCAGGATAGACAGTAGGCTTTCTATGTTTTGGTTCTTCATAGAATTTTTGAGCTTTAGAAATAAAAGGGTTGCAGGATTAAGAAGCACTTTATGTAATTTTGGAGAAATGTATAGTTTCCCTCTGTACAATATAAGCTACCTACATTTTAGTTTTTCACATCAGAAGTATATCTGTAACTAAATAGATTTATCAAAAAGATTCCCTAGAATCTTCACTAGAGTCTTGTGAAAATGTCAAATTAACAATAGAGTTCTGGGCTTGTTTTCTCATGAGGGCCTCTATCTAAAGACCTGACGTGTTAATATTCCAGGCCTCCTAAAATTCATGTTCTCTAAGAATTGATAACGTTTGAAAAGCCTTGCCATATATAAGACTGTAATAATTACCCTTTTAAAGACAGTTTCTATTGTATTTGAAGGGATTGATCTCACCTTGAGAGTAGACATTGGGGATAGGAAAATTCAGGTAGTGCTGCAGGATCATGGCTCCCCAAATGAAGGGTTTCCATTCAAGACATTTTCTTTACAACTTGGATCAGTTACTGTAGAAGTGAAAGAGATTTTATTTGTGATTGAAGGAAGGGATTGAGATGATGTGGAACATACCATGTTTTGCTATATTCTTGGCCAGGTGAAGCATCAGGGCCTGAATAAAAATATCAACCTGGACTCTGTGGCTGGTGTGCCAGTGGCAAGCACTGATCGTTGGAGTGAGATGACTGAGGCAGACAGACTCCAAGAGAACCTCCAGGCGTACCGTACCTTCCATGGGATGTTGACCAAGCTTTTAGAAGACCAGAGAGTACATTTCACCCCAAATGAAGGTGACTTCCATCAGGCAATACATACTCTTCTGCTCCAAGTTTCTGCCTTTGCCTACCAGCTAGAGGAATTAATGGTGCTTCTGGAACAGAAGATCCCAGAAAATGAGGTTGATGGGATGCCTGTCACTGTTGGAGATGGTGGCCTCTTTGAGAAAAAGCTGTGGGGCCTGAAAGTCCTTCAAGAGCTTTCACAATGGACCGTGAGGTCTATCCATGACCTCCGTGTCATCTCTTCTCATCAGATGGGAATCTCAGCACATGAGAGCCATTATGGGGCCAAGGATAAGCAAATGTAGCAGCTAGCCCTTCTCTCTCCTCTTTTGTTCTGGTGAGATGTAGGTAGTTCCCCGAGGCCTCATTTTCCCTGAGTCATTTTTGAAAACCTTAGACCACAGGCATTTTCATCAAGTAGTATTGTCACACATGAAAAGGTAGAATTACAAGTTATTCTGGGTGTATGCATATGTGTGCACATGTTTTTGTTTGTATTGGTTTAATAGAGTAGAAACAAGGGCACTATCCTCCCACCTTCCTGCTTTAACATCCCTGATACTAAGTGACCTTTCTAGGCATTTAACAGCCTTACAGGCAGAAGAGAAATTGTGGTTGTGGTTGACTTCAGCAAAGATTGACTAAACAAATTGGAAGTCCTGGACTATCACCATTCAAACTACCATAATAAAAATAACATTGTCTGCTGTGCAGAGGCAATGAGTGTGCCATGACTTTATGTACTTTCTATATAACTTCACATCTTTGTCTCAGAGGGTTAGAAGATGTGTCTTGCAATCTATCCCTAGCGCTGAAAAGCAGCCCTTGTTACATATCCTCAGAAGTCAGCAGCAGACAATCAGCAGCAGATGGCCATCCACAAGTATTTGTTGCTCACACCTGGTAAAGAACAGCAACTATGCATCTGCAGATTCCATTTGGGGAAAAAATGAGCCCACTGTACTTCCATACTTGGAAACTAAAGGATATGCAATATCAGACTGGTTTAGTATTAACTAATGTACTTGAATATTGAGTTAATCACTGTTTATAGCAAGTGAACAGATCAGTGATATATAGGCGCTATAACTAGATACTCAACAGAGGATGGAATGCTCAGGTTAAAGTGTCACAGAGCTTCATCACCTTACATTCTCTGCGCTTAGTCATGAGGGGAGGATGAGGTCTACTTGGTCCCCACTGAGAATGCCAGAGATTCTTAAATAGCACAGTAACACTCTGCCTTTAATATACTTGTGAGAGCCATACTGGAAGACTAGGAAAGAGATATCCCTGGGGAAGTCCATTTGCAGTGAGGCCTGTGTATTCACTAATGGTGCATTGTGAATTCCAATGATTTGTTAATATCATTTGTTTTTTTTTAAACTTATCTTTAGTTAAACCTGAGAGATCTTGAGTCGGGAGCCCAAGTCTAATCATGACATCTTGCTTCATAAATGAACCATCTTGTATCCTCTCCTACAAGGGGTTCCATACATGCTAGAACTCTAATCAAGTGTAGTACAGGACTCCATCAATCACTGTTGTAGCTCACGGGAAGTGAGACCCTGCTTTCTACTATGAAAATACAGTTGTGTATGTATAAAATAAAGACAGAAACTAAGGTGAGATAAAGAGATTAATTAAAGCACAAATAAATGTACTCCCTGGGTTGGTGAAGTACATTATAGAATAAACTCCAAGAGAAAAAAAAAAAAAAGAGTTGGTTCAGGAAAGCAAGTTAGACAAACAGTAAAATCTGGACCCAGCGCCATAAAAGGCCTGTTTTGTTTTATTCTGTTTGTGATTTTAGTATAGATAATTTCTCATTGTATTTAGAAGTGCTTATTTCATTATTACGTTCTGTTTGTCAGCATTTCCCACTTAATAAAGTATATGCTAACAAGGTTCATGGTTAAAGAAGAAAAGTGTCTAAAATTACATTATGGGATATAGCAAGATTATGAACAATCTACGTCAAGACTGACCCCTCTTCTAGGGTTTCTATCTCTCACAGGCATGACAGATACTGCAGGATTTTCAGAAAGCAGTGCTTATGAAGGAATATGTATATAGCTTTCAAGTGGAAAGTGGCCCAAAGAAAGTACAAATATTGAATGAGAAGAAATAGGAAAATGTCCCAGTCCTGTAGCTCACAGAAATGGAGAGTCTCTTGAGTGCCCTGCTCTACTGTGTTGTCATATTCATCTTCAAGAAACTTGGTGGTGCATGACAGCATCCCAGCACTCAGGAAGCTGAAGGATTGGGAGTTAGAGAATAGCTTGGACTACATAGTAAGAATATACACACACATACCCCAAGAAGAAACTTAAAATATACCTCACAGCAGTGTGTAAAAACCTTCAGAAAAAAAAAGGGGCAGAGAAGAGTGAATGGGGAGATGTCTTGGTGGGTAAGACTGTCCTGCAAGCATGAAGACCAGAGTTTGAATACCCCAAAAACATGTAAAATCTGAGCATGACTGTGCCAGCACTGGAGAACAGAGTCAGAATGGATCCTGGGAGCTCAATGGCCTTGCCAAAACAGTGTCCTGTGACACCATTTTAAGACAATAAGGCAATAATCGATGAAGACACTTGGCATCCCTCTCTGACCAGAGCATGCATGCAAACTCGCATGTGCCACACATGTATACACACAACTTAATTTTAAAAGGGAGGAGAAGCTGGGCATGGTGGTGCACACCTTTAATCAGAGCACTCACTCAGGAAGCAGAAGCAGGAAGAGTTCAAAGCCAGCCTGGTCCAGCTCTAGGACTACATAGACTACATAGAGGTAGGCAGGAATAAAAAGTTTAAGTGGGTACTTAACCATATAACACAAATATAAACCCATGGGAGAGATGAATGTGTTGACTATGTCATATTTACCAGGAACGTGTAAGACTGAATAAAGGGCTTACAATGTGCCAATGCCCTATGTATATCTTAACTACAGGGAATGGTTTTGTGAACATAATTTGTTGTTTGATTCTTTGTGTAGCTTGTATGGCACCAAGGATCTTGTGGGGCTTGGGTATGGAGTTGGTTTCAGCATGGGACATGAAACTCAGTGCCTCACATAATAAGCAAACACTTTACACGGAGCTCCAGTCCCAGCATTTGGAAAGATAAAGTTTTTAAGGATTCACAAAGTCAATGAGATTATTTAGATTTTATTCCTTTATTTCATAGGCCTGTCCATGGATAGAATCCCTAGAAAATCATAGATATGCAAATTCAGTTCCTCACCTTTAACCTTTACATCATTAAAAAAAAAAAAAAAGATTCTACCTCACAGCCCCCCAAAACATTCTCAGAGGAGGGTGATTCTGTTTCCCTGAATTGTATGGATGAGGCCTGACAAATTCTCCTTAAGGTGATGATTTGAAAGACTTACAAATTAGCACACACTCAAGGCCAAACATGGAAAAGAATCAGCTTAAGATAATGAGAATTGAGGGAAGTGATCACTTAGTATAAAACATGCGAAGTATAAAGTCAACCCTGGTCCTGCCGTTACTTCGGGCTACTGTAGATGAAAGCCCAATGAACAACACTGATGTGACCTCTGGCCAGAGGAAGAAAGTCTGAAAAGTAATTTCAAATGACTTCTGATCATGTACCCTTGGGTCCCCCCCTCCCTGAGTACCAGAGCATCAGCTCATTTCTTGCTTTTATTAAGGGTTAGGAACATACACAACAGGCCTCTATCAAAATGAGGTTGAGCTGAGATTTCAGTTGATTGTGGTTGTGTGTGTGTGTGTGTGTGTGTGTGTGTGTGTGTGTGTGTGTGTGTGTGTGATATAATGTGGTTTGAGAACAGAATTCTTTAAAGAGATGGTTTGGCCTCAACTTCAAGCTCCATGGTCAACAATGAACCCTCTGAATGCTGGTGCATTCATTCAAATGTAAAAGGCAGTAAAAACGATCTCAACACAAAAGCTTTTACAGAATTCTTACTATCACTGAAAAATGCTTGGTGTTTAAATATCCATGTGCTTGAGATATTTAACAAAAGATTGTTTCTTGGATCAATCTATTTTGGGCACATAGAATATAAAAGATGCTAGAATGGCTAACAATAGAGTTCTCTTCTCAGCAAGACCTCGAGTTGCTTCTTTTATTTCTGTGTCTTTGGATGAACAAGGGGAATTTCAAGTGATTTCAACACTGGATAAAACGTAATCCTCTCAGCCAGGGCCAGGCTCGATCAAGCATGCTGGGTAAATCTCCATGATGCCAGGCCACTGGGCAAAAGTCCCAAGGGCAGGCAGCCTGCAAAAGGCTGTGTGCTCCTACATCACCAGGCCAAATGCTCCTACAACCTTCTGAATATGCAGTTTAATTGCCTAGGTTGTAAATGAAGAAGGTTTGGTTTAACTTCAAATATTTTATTACCAGCCAAGGCTTTGGCTGAGAAAGATCTCTAAAGAGTCTGTTTCCAGTTATTTTAGAGGTAGAAATTAAGTTGTGACAAACCACACAGGTGAAAATAAAATTGCTGAGTCTGTACTTCATCTCCATGTTGAGTTAGTGTGAAAGAACAATGTGTTACTTAGCATATGAGATAGCTTGACACTGTTTTGTGATAGTTAATCCTTTGAGATATCAATCTACTTTCAGATGAGGGAAATGACAGTGGACATTAATTTGTTCAAGTTTATTCCTCTGGCATATGACAAGATTAAAGTTTTAATTCTAGTCTCAAAACTTTGAGAGCTCAGGTGACCAAGATCATCCAATTCTGAAATGTGCCCTGCACCTCTACAGTTCACTTTCCTTGGACAAAACCAGCATTAACTTGTTCCAAAGGATAACAAAGCCAATTTAAGTTCCCAAACTGGGACAAGTCACTCTCTCTGAGCTCCTCACTTATGAAATGGAAAAGATGACAAATACCTGATCTCACAGGTTATTAACACAGTTCAGACAAATTATCTGTATGTACTTGTAAATGGCATGTGAACTTCAAGTGTATCTAATAACTCAAGTATCTTAGATTCAAGTTACACTTTGGACTGAGGAGTGCACTCTGAATATCTCATAGATCGTCATTTTCCAGGATGGACATGGTGGGGTCATTACCTAGTTTTCACCTTGTTGACTTTAGGCTACAAAATACCAACCCAACCTCACTCCTACCCCCCCCCCCAGGAATCCTACATCGCTGTAGAGTTTGAGACACAGGCTGTTCACTGCACAGAAGATGGCTTTTCCTGTAATATAGTCAGACAGGCCCTGGAGACACCTGGCAGACTCTAGACTGGGGAGCCAAGGAAACATGCAAACCTAGGCGCCACCCAAGATGTGTTAAAGCATGCATTTAGACTCATCCCTCTTATACCCACACCCTCCTCTTAATAC